TTCCCTACAGTTTGCTCTTCAAGCAGGTCGGGGTGTAATCTTTTCCCGAATATGTGCGAAGAAATCGATAGTTTCTGTAGTTCATTCATTCGAAATGTTTTACTAAAGTTTCTTCTAATCAAAGACCGTTTGTGCGTATTTATTGAAGAGAAGTGAGGAAAACCAAGAACACTATCATTTCCCACGATTGACCCGTTTCTCGATAGTATAATCTCTGAGGAAGCTAATAGTGTGATTATTTTTCGAGATACATGTAAGAAGTTGAATAGTCTTTTATTGTTACAGTCAAGGATGGGTTTTTTTCTACTTAGTGTTGACAAAGGACCGAATCTGTATACTGTTCAAAAAGCATTGGACAAACAAGCACTTCTCTTGGGCTAGTTATTATTAGTGAATTTGCTGCTGGAGCTCGCTGTGAGGTCGCCGAATCACAACGTGTTCCGAAATGAAGGACAAAAAACAACAGCTTAGTGTTTCGAAAATAAAATCATTAATTCAGTTTTTTTGACAGCTTTTATCTCGACGAGGGTCAATGTTAATATTTTTCGAAGAGAAAGGAACTGTACTTCTTTGATTGACTTGTTTTCTACATCTATTGTTAGATGTTAGACTCAAACACGAAGCTGTATCTTTTTCGAACAGAAAAAGAAAAATAAAGCTCTTGTTTTTTTGTTTGCCATCATTCATGCATGTATTGATTGTATGCGCTGCGACAAGGACAAGTCTATGTCTCTTTGAAAAGGAGTGTAGAATAGAGGTTTCTTGTTGTTACTTGACTTGATTAATACATTTATTGACAGTGCTCGTTGCGGCCAAGCTGTGTGTATATATATTTTCGAGAGGAACGAAAAACAGCGAGGTAGTGCTTTTAATAGCAGCGATTGATGCATTTGTTGTTGATTATATGCAGAGAGGCAAGGTCGAATTTGTGTTGTTTGAAAAAAAAAAAGAAAAAGTGAAGTCCAATCCCTCCACTTGATATGATCCGATTAAACTACTTATGATATTTCTATGCAAAAATTTACCTATAATGCCATTCTCTTATTTACTTGTATACCTAACTAATAATTCAGCTGTCTATGTGCAGCTAATAATCATACTCTATTAGGAAAATATCAATCGTCGCATTAGCTCAAGAGACGAATGAAAATGTTAAGTGTAGACTTCTGAACCGATTTGTAAATTGGGAACGAAAGAAAAAACTTTCATGCCGATGTGCAGAAGATGATATACAATTGAAATTACCCTACAACATTCAAAAGAGATGAGAAGTATTAGCTGTATATGCGTGGTACCAGGAAATGTCAATCATACAATAGACGTGATTCTTTCTTTCAAGACAAATAGGTCTTACCTGTTAGGTCGGAGCTTGAGCATAACTACCAGATCTTGAATTTTATCGAATGTTTACATTCTACATTTTTTTGAACAGCGCTTAGAACAAAACCAATTTATAGTTACATATGATTGTTTCACATGACTTAGTGTATCCACTCATATGTAACTTTCAATTTATATTTGGCTTGTTGAAAGTTAACAGTACATAGTAATGGGTGACAAAATGAATGTAGGATCCTCTAGAGTCTGATTCGAAATCATTCTCTATACATATATTGTACCATTTAGTGGCATAGTGATTATTATGGAGCAGACTTTCTTCTATCAGATCCTATAATTGAAACTTCATTCTTACAACTCAAACTGGTAATATATTATCGTAACCGTTTAAAAATAGAAATCACTCAGTCGATATGGGAAACTGTGATGAACTCTAGAAAAATTTGCACACTTGGCTTGATGCGCACATCTAACTCATCCACTTCGAACACTTTCAAATTCAACATTTTAATGTGTTGGATTGATTCGGTATAAAATTAGCCCGAAATCTTGTTTTAGCGTAATCGGACAATTGTGGAAAAGTTCCTTATGAAGAATTAGTTCGATTCTACAGCAAACTAGTTGTCAAATTTTTTTTTCTATCGGCATATGAATAGATAGAACGTCATAGATGATGCAAATTTACGTATTCAGATGTTACAAATCTAAAGTCAATGTCAACTGGTCGAATGAACGAGACTTTGGCTGATAAGTCTCAGAGTTCCAGAAGGGTTGACAACTTTAAACACGAACTAAAACCAGAACATGACCTCTAAATATGTAAATTTGTACTGTTTATGATGTTCTATCTATTGGTATATTTACGCTAAAACAAGGTTTCGGGCTAATTTTATACCGAATCAATCCAACACATTAAAATGTTGAATTTGAAAGTGTTCGAAGTGGATGAGTTAGATGTGCGCATCAAGTCAAGTGTGCAAATTTTTCTAGAGTTCATCACAGTTTCCCATATCGACTGAGTGACTTCTATTTTTAAACGGTTACGATAATATATTACCAGTTTGAGCTGTAAGAATGAAATTTCAATTATAGGATGTGATAGAAGAAAATCTGCTTCATAATAATCACTATGCCACTAAATGGTACAATATCTGTTAAGAGAATGATTTCGAATCGAACTTTAGGGAACTCCACATTCATTTTATCGTCCACTACTATGTACCGTCAGCTTTCAAGAACTCAAACATATATTGAAAGTTACATATCGGTGGATAGGCTAGGCCATGTGAAACAATCATATGTAACTATAAATTGATTTTGTTCCAAGTTCTGTTTAAAACAATGTAGAATGTAAACATTCGATAAAATTCAAGATCTCGTAGTTATGATCAAACTTTGACCAAACATATGAGACCCATATGTCTCGAACGAAAAGATCTATAGTACTTTGATCCGTAACTTAAAGTGAGGGATTGTTTGTTTAATTACTTCTTCTGCAAAGATTTTCTATTTTAAATTGATCTTATGGAAAGAATAAAAAAAAGTGTCACATAAATTTTATTGTTTCAAAATTTATTTATTTGATATAGATGACAACTGATTTACAATGAAAAGTAACACCTATAATAAGGGTGTGGAGTGTGGGTGTCGTTCATTTTCTCATCCGTACCTACACCGACACTCACATCCATACTCACACTCTCTATTTTGCGAAAAAGCTAACTTTGTTCTTATATTTACATCTCCTATCGTGAGATATGAATATAAGAACGAGATTTGTTTGTTCGCGTAACAGAATTTTCAATATTCATATCTTAAAATAGGAGATACTAAAAAAATCTGAAACTTTCAAAATGACTTGAGAAGGATCGCGGCGTTTTGTTGAAAAATTCAACAAAACGACCATAACTCAAGAAGAAAGGCCTATGGGCACGAATCATTTTGGGCTTTCTCTATTCTGAATAGGTCCTACTTAATGAGGTAAGACTCAACTAAAAAGCGATTTCCCACGTCGTCGATTTTTTTTCCAAATCGGTGGTTACCGGTGGTTCATAGGAAAATCGCCGGTTCGAAACGGTTTTTCTTCATTTAACTTTTTTTTTTAAATAATTTTCCTTCTAAACTGATATTTTTAGTCTTAAAAAAACGATTGTAATTGAAGAAAGTCAAGATAATTATGCAACAGTGAAATTCTGTCAGGTGGTGCCATTGATTTTTCTATTGATTAAATTATCTCGCGAATCACTAATTTCATGGCGCCATCTTTTACAAAAATCTAAACTCGAAAGTCAAGCGAACATAGCAGATGTGACTGGTACCAGTGCCTCCAGCGCGCTTGCATCATTAGGAGGCGACGATTCGGAAAAAATTCTGACGATTTTGTAAGAGTTTAAAAATATTCATACCAGAGGTCCAACCAAGCCACGTTTTGGAGGCCTGAACGGCCTGACACAAGCCTGTCAACTTTTTCAAGCGAATAAAATAATGATGATAGACTAGAAACCAAAGGCCCAAAGAGAGCACTAGGGCTACTATCCTACCCGAGCCTGATCTGCCTGTGATAGGTACCAGCCATGATTTTCAGACCAATGTAAGGGACAGGCCAACAACTTTCTTGGACCTGTGATTGACACTTGTGTGACAATCGTGGCTCGTGTCTATGACAAGCAGGTCAGATCCAGGTAAGATAGTAACCCTAGTGCTCTCTTTGGACCTCTGGTTCCTAGTCTGTCATCATTATTTTATTCGCTTGGAAAAGTTGACAGGCTTTTGTCAGGCCGTGCATGCCTCCAAAACGTGGTCTAGTCGGACCTCTGATTCACACCCTGTGATACTAAAAAACATTCAGCTGGAGAACTGCGGTTAATCGGCTGATTAAGCGCCCAGTTTACCCGATGGTTAACCGTGGTTTTCGGCCGGTTTGAACGACATGGGCTATCACCTGGTGATGTTTCCTGGTGAGAGCCACTCAGTTAAGTTTTCCGCTTTTCTAAAAAAGGCTACTAAAAATGATCGTCGTTATAAAAACCCGAATGCGAGGTTAGTTTCTCAAATTGTTGAAATTCCAGTAATTTTTCAGTCCGACTCGAAATTTCTTTAGGATTTTCGACCCGTGACCTCATTCACCCCTAAAATAAAAAACCTAATTTTTTTTGAGATAGTTGCTAGATATCGTACTGCTGAGCAGGACATCATAATGAGTCCATGTGGATGTAGAGTGTAGATGTGGGCATGGATGTGATGTGAATGTGGATAGTGAGTGTTGGTGTGGGTGGGAGTGGGGGTGTGGGTGTCTGGGTCTGAATCTCCTCTTCATTGACACCCACACCCAACGAGGAATAAACTGCGCAAAAATTAGTAACTATATTAGCTAAGACATTATATTTTCTACATACCGTTCGTACACAGCGTAGAAAAAATTACAAATTGGCATATCATTTTATTAATAATCACAATGATTGTTCTTAATGAAACATGAATTTAAGCAGTCGTTTGATCATCATTCATATTGTGCAAGAGAATCAAAGGAAAATTTCTTTTTTTTAGATAGATATTATAATTTCGAACAGTACAATCCTTCAGAGGTTGATATACGAAGTATTTAAGTGAGAATTTCCTATACTATCGTATGTTTGATGTGCTACTTTGTTTTATTTGAAGAAATGGAAGTAGAAACGATGATTCAGGAAGATGGCGAAACTATTACGCGTAGTACTGCCAAAAGAAGACATTCAGGAAAACGACAGTGAGTATAACTTTAACAATATATTGCATAGAAGTGGACCGAATGAAGTAAAATATCAATTTCTCTTATTGAAGCTGGTCGAAGTTTGGTTTTTAATGTTGAAACTAAAATTTTTCTTTGAAAACAAAACATATCTTGTTATACTCTACGAATTTGTAAAACATTTTTTTCAAAATCTCATTATGGAATACATCAGCGATGGCATACATGAGATCTATTATCAGATTATAAACATTCACTTAATCTATAGAGCATATCTTTAGATAATCTTACTATCATCAGTCAAGCAAATGTCTACAATAGTTCATTTATTTTACATAGGAACAAATGGAAATCCAATTTGCTACGTTTGGGTGTTGGTGCCTTGACGATCATGTTTTTTGCCGCTCTGGCATCTATTCTCGTGTATAGATCGGTGCCCAGCATTCGGAAATCAGGTGGCATAGCCAAAAAGGAAGCAGGTTAAGTTTGAGCGTTTATTTGGCGATCATCATAATCCTAGATATGTTTAGATATTCAAGAAATCCATCTGAAAGCTATTTTTAGTACCAATCATGTTTTGGACAACGGAGATCAGCCATTGAAAATAATAAATATCGATAATATCACTGATCAAGTATAACATCTAGTAAACAGTAGATTTGTATTGTTCTTCTGGTTTTTTTTGTAGTTAAACACGATATTCAATGGAAAGATAATTAACGTTGCCGATGCATTGTTCCGACATCATTCCATATCGAAAGGGTACTGTCAGTAAACAGCATCTAATGCTAATTTTTGACTATGTTTCAATTTTGATTAAGGATTGTATGCGAAGATCCACTATCCGGAAATATTCTTCAATTAAATATGATCACTTTTTATCCTGCTGATTGTGAGTATCACGAATATGATATGTGTAAGATGCAGCTTATGGAACAATTGAAAGCAACATTCAGTCAAATACTAAGTATTCCTATCATGATTCAGTTTGATGACAAGGTTTCTAAGAGTATTGATATTAGAATATGTACTATCACAGAATTGACTGGTAAGATAGGAAGCATTATTTCACAACAATTACATTTTTTTAAAATTAAGCCACAGAAGAAGAAACAATGCCAACAGCAGCAAAGATAAAAGCAAAACAAGCAGTAATGCCATTTGCAGCGCCGCAAAAACTGGCAAGAAACAGTAAGTTCCTATAGCAAGATTGATAAACTTCTTGCAATATTTCTGTTGACAATCGAATCACATTCTCGTTTTTGAAAACATTCACAATTTTTGGGTACTCTCAAATGACTTCATTGTTAACAATAGTAAAAATCATGAACGTCGTTTGATCAACATTATTAGTACATTCTTTATAGAGTTCAGAACTAGATAGAAACTTGATCGGATTCGACATCAAGTATTTTAAATTGTTGTTAGAATTTTCGTTGCATACGTATATTTGACTTTTGCCTGCCAGTAAAGTTTACTAAATCTCACTATGATTAAATAAGTCATATGGTTAAAAGTAGATTATATTTTCTGCTAATGCAAAGCATGAAATGAATATTTATATTCGAAATTTTGATTGATGGGTAAATCGATGAAGAAAAGCAACAAACTTAGTGTCTACAGAAATAAAATATGAATCACGATTGATTTCTTCTACTCTTCAACGAGAGTGCTATTCAATTCGATCATATTATCTGCAAGGTAAAATAAACTCACATATCGAATTGTTTCTCACCGTCTGTGATTGTACGGAACTTTATCCATTCAGTTTGGCAATCTGCTACGGTTCGTGAAACAGTCCTAGTTGAAGATGGTTCACTTTTCTTGCTATATACCTTCAACACTCGTTTCCAATCGTGTTTTATAAAACATCACATTTTGGAAAAAGTACTTTGATCGAAAAAGTTGCTCACTTTTACTTGACATGAGAGGAAATAACCGATAGTATTGTATTCTTTTGAGCTCATAGTTTGTCTATAAGTAAGGAACGAGTCGAGTAGTACAATCTTCAAAGATTCTCTTTTTTCATTGAGATTAGACGAGAATATAAGTTTTTGAAATCATGACACGTTTAAAAAATTGTAATGAAAGTAAATTTTTTCTTGAAATTGCAAAGAAGTCTCTCAATTAAAAACATACATATCCTGGTCAAATCTAAAGCAAATAAAAAGGAAACCTTTCGAGGTTGCGCTATCTGACTGGTCTCATCTGCTTATGGCAAAAAATATGGGCTTAAAAAGGATATAATTCTATAGATGATTTCTTCGAGATGTACCCAAAGAATTATTCGAATATTCTCTATTTTGACTAACAACACGTAAATCTTTCAGTCTAAGCTCTTTTTGAACACTTTTTGATCCAATTAGTAGAAAAATTTGCTCCAGAATAACGATCTAAATCAAATGCATTAATTCAATTATCATTATACAGTTCTTAAATCTTCCACTTACCTTTGCAAATTTCATGGTTCAGTTTTTTCGTACGTTATCAAACTACTATTACATATAATTGTCTTGAAATTTTCGTGAAGCACATGATCAGAAATGAGTGTTGAAGCATATATTGAGAAAAGTGCCCTCATTCTCCCGTTCACACACTATGACTGGGCTTGCAGTATGCCTTTTTTTTAGATTTTCAGAACATGAAATTAGTTCGTAGTTATCACATAATTCTGTGTATATACTACAGTCAATTCTATTTTCGTACCTATGCTGGAAAAGTGACGCTTATAAAATACTCAAAATCATATCTTGCAGACTTTGATCATGGTCTTGACTGATGAAAATTAATAACTGTAGGAAGATACATCATAAGTCATTCGTCATAGGATATGCACCTCCAAGTTTGTCCTCGCGAAATATTCCCAGTTATAGACGACTATACTTTGTTAGATTTATATCGTATTGATCAACTTCAGTTCTTTAATCGTATTCCTGCCTGAATTCATTAATAATAGAATAAGATTTACATAACCTAATTAATTATTCTCTCATATTCAAATTCAATCCTGTCGTATTCAGTTTTAGTTGACATGGATTTAGCATACATAATGTTTGTACATTTTTCTTTAATTTTAACCTGAACAGATTAACTCATCCGTTCGTCTTTCCTCAACCATTTCAACTCGAAAAAGAAGGCTAAATGTATCTGTAAGCAACTGCATATGAGTTCGACAGTGCTTTCATAGTTTAAATACTACTGACCTGTTTGATTTGTCGAAAATTTGATTATTCATTCTGTACATTTCTATTAGTACCTCGCTCTATCGACAGACAATATTCGGCACTTCAGAGGTCTCGATGTGTTCTGTGTATTAACAAAATCGGACTTGTTCAAATGCCTGGCGAACACGGGTCAAGTATTCAAGATGACGTACAAACGAATGCCTTTTCAAGCAATTACCAAAATCAACCTTATCTGACTGCTACAGTTTATGAAGACGGAACCTATCGATTACATGTCAAACTCGATTGCGATGAATATTTAAGCGGAGGCTCACGTGACAATCCATGTAGCCTGTCTCTAAGTGTGACCGAGTGGATTGACTTCAACGACAATGGATTGGATGACTCAGAAAGTCGACTTCTTCAGCCCGCTTGGTTAAGCAATGACGCAGCAACGGGTATATATAATTTGGACGTATACATACCTAGAGTTGATGAAAGAACTACAAAATCTGGACCACATCGCATGCTTCTTACTGTGACGCCAAGCGCAGAGTACCAAAGAGAATGTGGCGATTTTTCATACAAAGAAACACGGGAATATTCAGTCAATGTTATACGACGAGAGCGACCTACAGGTAAATCATTGTTTGTTTACTGATTATAGATTTTGTATCATAACGGTGCATATTTGACCATTTATTATAAATGTCTTTTAATTGTAGTTCCACCAACAGCTCCAGCTATCTGCCCACTAAGCGTCGCCAGAATTAATCTTGTGATAATGGCTGGCGAAAAGGGTACAGAGATTCGAGATGATAAACCAACAAACACTAACTTTCTCAATCAACACCATATGGCCGTTACACTTTTTGAACATACTGTCTATTTGCTACGTATCCAACTAGATTGTTCCTCGCAATTGAGAACTGAATTAACTGCAACTGGTTGTAATCTTGCCCAAGATGTTAATGTTTGGATTGATTTAAATGATGATGGAAAATTTGATGAATCAGAAAGTGGAACTCCTTATCGTTGGCCAGTAACGAGTTATATGGCAGAAGGTATCTATGATATACAAATATATGTACCATTGCTCGATAGCAGAAATATAAGAAATGGACCACATAAAATGCGTATTTCTGTCGTACCAAGTAATTATTATCGAAGCACCTGTGCTAGCTATGAATACAACGAGGCACGAGAGTACTCGGTCACTATTATACCAAGAATGAAATATTCTTGTAAGTATTCTAGTGTTTATAAGTAAATAGTTTTCTGTGATAATGTTGAATGAAAAGAGTTAAAATGATTCGTTTTAGTTTTCGATGTGAAGACAAACACTATCAGTGTTTATTAATTGTTACTTACGCTTCTAACTCTTTAAGAAAATAATCCATTTTCATCGAAAGTTAAACGTTTTTTTCTGAGGTTTTCTTACCTATGTGCAAGTTGTTAAAGACATAAGAATTATCAGACATATAGCTTGTTGAGATGAATTATAGAATATTAATGTTAAGGTTGAGATTAGATCATACTATATCAATTCTGGAAGCATATGTGAAATCTTTAAAAAACACAATTTTCATCATTGTCATCTGTATGAATGATGTATACAGTCATTCAAAAGCCTATCTTATCGGAGTATATGCGATGATTTGTCATCAATTAAATAGTATTTGCAGAGTAGAAATTAAACTTACAGCTGATTTAAAGACAATTCTCGAGTATTGCAACTGAAGGAAAGAATCTGCATTTCGGACACCTAATGTTTTTAATAGAAATAGTTTGTCTATTCAGTTATAGACAAACTAGCAGCTCACATATTTACTAATACAAAAGTGATAGAAAAAGTTAGAATTAAAAATCTATCAGCGACTAGAAACAAGTTAGCACAAGCTTTTAAATCCTCACAACTGTAAAAGTGATATAGGACACCATTTTAAAAAATATTTGCAAAAACAAAGAGATCCAGTAGATAGTGTTCCATAATGCTCTTTACATTAATGTATTTCTAGAAAACTAGGTTGTTGCTAGCAAGTTTCTTTCAGATAATACCAATTCATAATAATTTTAGCTGTAAGTTTCTTGCAAACATTTGAGAAAAATAGTTGTATCGTGATATTTTTTGTTTGTACAGACTGCAGTTCCTTTATCACAATCGATCAAATAGAGTCTTGTACACCTACATCAATAAGTATTGCAATAGCTGTATATAGATTCTAATTTGTTTCAATTATTATTTATTCTTAAAAAGTTCAAGAATTTATGCAGTACTAGATGCTATTCATGTTTTGTATTTTGATTAGAACGTAATACTTTATTTTGTGAATTGTTTTTTTTTGCAGCACTCGATGCTACACCTACCTCTGTGGTACCACACAACGCGCCATGTTCTCCTGATGTTGGCAAACTCATTCTTGTTGTTATGGCTGGTGAGCATCGAACACAAATTCGAGATGATCAATCAACGAGAAATGCATTGACCGGCAAAACTCGAAGTTATCAACACCTATCTGTTGTACTATATGAAGATACCGTCTATTTGCTACGTATCCAATTGGAATGCACTGGAGAATGGGGTCGAGAACCAGTTGATAACAACTGTAATCTTCCTCATGATGTGGCTGCTTGGATTGATCTAAATGATGATGGCAAATTTAGTGATATAGAAAATGCAGCTCCTTATCGCTGGCCACTCGCTAGTTATATACCACAAGGCGTCTATGATCTACAAATATATGTACCCGATATCGATGGAACGCGAACAAAAAGTGGACCACATCGTCTGCGTCTTGACGTAACGTTAAATGAACAGTATCGTCAAAAATGTGGCAAGAACTATTACAGAGAAACACGAGAATACAATGTGACAATTGTTCGAAAAAATATGAAGCAAACAGGTAAATATTTTTTCCTCTACTATATAACTAGAGACACTGAATCTTATAAATATGACTTGATTATTTCAATGATAAATGATTTTGTTTACATACCTACTCTCAAGAGGATGAATATTTATGAGAAGAATTATTGATGAGTAAATTGTCCTACAAATAGAAGTATGTTTTGAAAAAAAAGAAATTCAAAATTTTAAATATAGAATAGATTTTAGAAGTTAATATGTTATTAAGCTTTTTCATTTAACGAAGTAAAAGTTACTATATCAAGCAGTTTTTCATACATGTTTGTTGTGATAAAAAAACAATGCATGAACAAAATGGACAAGTCAAAGAAAAGAAAATATTCTTCTAGTCTATATCGAGCACAATAGATTGAATATTAAGTTTAAAAATAAAATAGGATCACTCAGACATCGAGCAATAGTATTTTGTTTTTTAATAAATTCTAATTATATCATTTATACATGCATACTTTGAAAGAGAAACATGATTTTATGTAAAAACCTAGTTTTTTGGACAAAACTTCGACTATTTTTTTTCCTCTAAACATAGAAATTAATATTTATTTTTTAAAAGAGCAAATAATACGGATTTTCTCTCGATCAAATTCAGCAATAATCATTGAATTTCACAAAATGAAAATTTTAGTAGTATGTTCTCTAATAAATGTTTCTTATTTTTGTCAACTATGGTCATAAATGGCAAATATAGTGAAAATAAACGAGAATACTAGAAGTATAACATCGTGTACAAATGTATAAAGATTATTTATTCTTCTTTTTTGATTTTGTCAGATAAACTCGATGTTGAGTTACATCACAAAGGATAGATGCGCATTGCATTGCTCTACATTCATTTAATCGAATTGTACAAATCTTAGATAAGTTCACATATATATTTTCATCATCTTTTGATTGAAAATGGGTATTTTTAAAAATGAATTCTGTTTTAATGCAAAAGATAAAAATTTTGACGGTTCAAATTCAATTTGATAGTAATTGATCAGTAAAACATAACGAAATTGCACATTACAAACGAAGTTTTAAAATTTCTATCATATAATATGTTACATAGTTCAATCAATCGAATTCATACAGAATATTTAATTTTATGAATTTTCGTTATTTCTAGTTGATATTGGAGGTCCATATTTAACATTAAGTGATGGTGTATGTTCTAAAACTCATGGCAAAATCGTACTTGTTATAATGGCTGGTGAGAAAGGATCACATATTCGAGATGATACACCATTAAATACTCAAATCAGAGACGATCAAAATCGTCATCATCTGGCTGTCACATTATATGAAAATACTATCTATCGACAACGTATTCAATTGGATTGCGATCGCCGATCCAGTAGAGCTCCGTTTAGGATTAACTGCAACCTTGCTTATGACGTGAATGTCTATATTGATCTAAATGGTGATGGAATATTTGATGAATCAGAAAGTCGTACTCCTAATCGATGGCCACTACGTAGTACAATGACAGTAGGCATTTATGATTTGGAAATTCCTGTACCTAGTATCGATGGATTGACTACGAAAGGTGGCTCACATATTATGCGTGTTGTTGTCAAATCAAGTGATGAGTATAACAGAAAATGTGGCAGATCGGACTTCAGTGAAACGCGGGAATACACTGTAAATATTATTCCAAAGGAAAGTGTACAGAATACATATGGTGGAGGTAATATACTTTTCTAATAATTGAATAGAAGTTTTGTATCATATAAAGAATGTAGTCTTCTTTTAAAATAAGACTTGTAACAGTTGAACTATGCAAGAGTAAAGAATCATTTAATGAAAAGAAAATTATGAAGTTTCGACAGACTACGAAATTTATTTGATTTTATTATTATTAAAACGTTTCTCAATAATCAAAAAAAAAAAGGAAGTAATTACTATATACACCTTGCTATAAACAAAAGTGAGTTTTGTGAAGTGCACGATTTGTCTCCTAAAAATATCAACAAAAACTAGTGTCAATCTTTCGTATATACCAACAATGACTCCATAAAGTTTGTTTATTTTTTATTATAATATATGCTATATTCTCTTGTTTAGACTACAGAGTCACACATTGTTCTCCTGGCAATTTAGTCTGTTCAGTAGGCAATAGTGCTATTTCTTCGGTGAGTTTATCCGGTGAGCAAAATACACAAATTCGAGATGAAACGAAACAATGTAGCTCAACAAATAATTATAATGATCGAAGTGATTTAACTGTAACATTGTTCGATAATACGCCTTACACTCTTCATGTTGAATTATCTTGTGTCCAACAATCGGGCTATGGTAATACTTATAGCCAAGACCCATATGAGTTCGAAACAAATTGTCGTAATGCTCGGTATCTTGGTGTATGGATAGATTTCAATAATGATGGTACATTTGATGATAATACAGAACGCATTGTTCCTAATAGTTGGCATAGAGATGATCCTCGTACAACTCGAAATGATATAAGTTTTACCGTTCCACAAATTGATGGTAGATATAACGTAGGCGGTCAACATCGCATGCGTGTTGTTCTGGTACAAGATGAAAGATATCGTCAACCATGTCAAAACACTGGTTATGGTGAAGTACGAGATTATACAGTACAAATCATACAGAAACCTGGGTATTGAAATGAAAGATAGACATTTTATTGACACTACATTATTCAAGACTTTTCAAGTGTGTCTTTTGTAGTTTTGAAACATAGAAATAAAACTAACATATTGCTTCTTTGGCATTGCTTAACTGAATTGTGAATATGTAGGAAAGGCACCGTTGAAAAACTTCAAGAGTCATACATATTAGATTAAATTGTAATGCACGACGGAGTCAATTCTGTCATGATGGAGAAACATCACTATGTCAATTACAATTCATAGAGGCTTGAAAGAGGACTAGGTAAAAATAACTTCGGCTACCATAGTAGGCATGTCTGTTACGATTTGTGATGCAGACTACTACGGAACTCACTTTTCTCGCTATATAGTTTGGCATTCACTAACAATCATGTTCCATCAAAAAGGTATCATCAGTATGAGTTTATCTCGCTTACTCTATTACAAATGTCACTAACACTCACTGTATTGAACTGTTATTTTCATGCTTGAAACCCGCCAAATAACTTCTTCCTAGTGCCAATCTGTTCCAGACTCAGAAATCATTTTATTCATCTTCAGGTGAATCTTAGACTCTTTCAATAATTCACTGGACTTTTGTAGCGAATTGTGACCTGAACATTTCTATCGATAGTGTGCCGATAATAAGGGCACGGCCTTTATGCATTTTCTATTTGTTTAATGTTGTCAGAACAAGCGGTCATGCTGTGGCTAGATGTTCTGATCTCATGGCCGATAGCAGCTATCTTCCCACTCCGTCTCCTTGTTTCCTCTTTCGTATATAAGCTCGTGTTTTATATGAGACTGACAGAATTGGTATGAGGAAATACTGTAGTGAACATCGTATACCGAGGATAGCGGTAGCACTACTCATCCAGTTTCTCAAGGTTGATCAACAATAAAATAAATATTGCAGTGGTAACGAAACGTTCTATCCATCATTTTTCGTTATACATACGTATTATTGCTTTGTATGAAATAGTTTAAGGATGCTGTTTGATCCAGTAATATTGCACATCATTCTGATAAAAAAAACTTTTCAAAGAGGCATTCACCAAAAAAACCAATAGTAATGCCAGTATCAACACCCCCTTTCAATACTCTCGAACGAAAAGACTTATGGAATGATCGTGTGAGTGATGTCTATTATGCAATATTTCAAGTCGATGATAGCATTCTACTTTAATATGTTTATGTAATTCTGCAAGATCTAGAAAATAAATATCAGATCAACAATAAATCATAGGAACAATTAGGCACACAGAAAATTGAAGGGTTAGATGAACAGCGATAGACAGCTCAGGCATCGATTGATCATACGTGCAAAACAATAAATCGACCTAATAATTATGATTGACAAGAAGCTTCGTACTTGGCGTTTTGTTTTTGTCTTTTCTTCAACTAAAAATTAACATCTTAAGAAGTGTTTTAAGCTGAACCAATGAAAAAAAAACAAAACGGATGAAGTCGCTTTACTATCAATAAAAGAAAATACGATATCCGTAATTTTAAAACAAAATAAATGTATCATGCGTATCGAATGGTTCAGTGAAAATGCGTAGTTTTTTCATTTTTAAGTTTCTTCTTTACACACAGGTCTTAAAGGTCATTCATAATTGTGGTACTCGAAACGATAGTATAATCTATGATGAGTGATAGTTTAAACTAATCGATAGACTTATGAAAGATTGTAGGTGTGAGGGTGGGTGAATGTATTCGCTTCAGTCTCACTCGCACACATCTACCCTTTACCACCCCACTGATTGTGTAATTTCAATTTCTTTGTGTCCATCTTTACAACGTTTTTTAATTCGTATTTTTGTCAATAAAATAATAAATTGATAACCTATAGTCAGAAGTAGAAGTCTTTTCATCATGTTTATCAGGACGATAAATAAAAAAACATCTAGATAGTTAGGTGAAAAGTTAAGTGACTCCATAAATATGGACTTCTTAACTGCATTCGAAAACAATAACTCCATCTCGTAAATCAAATAACAAACGTGCGAGTGTATATGACCATTATCGTTAGCATCATTGATAGAAAGAATGAAATCTTGTCACAAACACTCGTATATCTTAGTTTTTTATCTTTGACATTTTGATTATGCTAATAAAAGTTTTGATATTATGTCCTTTATAAATACAAGCGGGTACCTTTTGCTCTACAGGATAAAGATGGTAACGACTATTATTTTAGTGTTTATTCTCTGTCTACTAGCGAGAATACATGCAGGAATACCGCAGCGCAACCTTATCCAATTTAAACATATGATTAATTATAAAGGTTTTAGCTCATTGGATTACATCGGCTATGGTTGTTGGTATGTTGATTTTATCTATTGATTTTTTGAACAGAATTGAATAATTAATTCATAGGTGTGGTTTGGGTACCTATGGTTCGAAAGTATTTGATAGCACAGATCGATGTTGTCAATTACATGATCAATGTTATGATCGTATTTCGGGTGGATTTTTCGGTTGTTCACCGAAACTTGTCACCTATGATTGGAAAGGATTATTCAATGGCGAAATTCAATGTACAGATCGAGAAAATACATGTGATCGGAATGCATGTGATTGTGATCGAGTAGCTGTTGAATGTTATTCGCAGTATCGAAGTACCTACAATCCTGATTTTCTCGATGGCAAATATAAAGGCAACAAAAAAATAGCATGCAAATAACATCCATTCACTTTTTTTTCAAGAGCTTTATAATATCTAGACATTATATGAAAGAGATCTGATCTCATATGCTTTTTTTTTTGTTTTTCAAAGAGAGAACATACATAATATTGCCAGATGAATGTTGATTATCGGTGCAGAGTGGGTGTGGATGCGAAGAAAAGGAACAAACACATACCATCTCATGATTCTTACTAATTAGAACCGAGAGCCATATATTGTGATGACTAATGATCTAAACATATCGCCTATTTATCCAGACCTGATTCTAATGTGATACTTAGAATAAGTAGTGATTTTCTCATTAGCCATTGTCGATAAACAATTGAATGAACGGTATGTTGTCTTTCATCGACACTTCCGTCTTCTTCAATTCTTAGAAGCATTCGCTATGTTTATAATAGAGGCGTACGGCTCACGCTCATGAGAAGCATTACTGTACTTCGAATATGCAACTCACCCATAATACTCGATCCATCTTCGGTTCTATTCATTGAGACTCTACAACTCAAACTCCTGAGCGCTCATCAGCATGCGCTGTACATCCCGATTATTGAATAGCCACGGTCGAGGACCCTGCTTCTCTTCTATTGTGAGGACAAAATATAGTGTTGTTCGGGTCGATTCTAGAGTTGTCGAGAGCGCTCCTGTATATTACTCGAACAACAGTATGCTTTGTCCTTACAAGAGAAGAAAAACAGATTCCACGAGTATGGTTATTCGATAATCGGGATGTACAGCTCATGCTGATGAGCGCTCAGGAACTTAAATTGTAGAGTCCCAATGAATAGGACCGAAGATAGATTGAGTCTTATGGGTGGGTCGCATATTCAAAATACAGATGTACCGCTCACGCTCATATGGGCTGCTCATAAGCGTGAGCTGTACACCCTCTAAAAGTTTATAATATTCGATGAAATTTGCTGCATCCTTCAAGAAGGTTTTAATTGCTTGGTTACACTGAACCGTCGCTCTAACCGATTCGTATTCAAACTTGATCTTTGTTGTTTACTAATGCGGGAGTTGCAATTCGATAGGATGAAGATCTTTTGGACAGGCAGAGTAGACATAGGTATATTAACTAACTATGATACATATAAATACATCCTTAAATTGTAACCAAGATATGCAATAATATGTTTGAATCATAGTCACTATTTAGCTATAATAACAATTACAGAATATGTTAAGTATTTAGTTTAATAGTTTCGGTTAATGTCAAAAGAAATGATCCTTTTAATTACTTCATCCTATCATCGATTATTTTATCTAAATATATGGCAAGCATGACAAGTACAATTAAACGTACGATTGTATAGCAGATTAAGATATAGTCATTAATCTGAACAATGAAGAGGCAACGTCTGCTAAGAACGGCTTCATCTTGTGTTCAATGGATAGCAAATACATTTTCTTTATGCATGAAGATGATGTACCAGAGACGAATAAAATCATCTTCAACACATACATGAAATAAATTGTCTGCTATGCAATATTTTTTGGAAAAATGTTAAATTCTGTTCTATCATATTGCCGACTTGTAAACCAATGAAATTCTTTTTGTTGTTAGAAAGAGCAATGTTTGAACTACAAATTTTTGTATCACACGTTTTTTCTTTCCAGAGCGAACCTGACGAGTAGGAAAAGATCAACACCAAACATCTCCAGAAAAGTTCTTGTACCTTCGCTACTGAGCAACCGCATTTTTTATTCGCTGCTTTAATAATGTATTAGATGTTAAATTTACTCTCGATTATGTATACCAAAATATAGCTTTTTCAAAAACAAAAAAAAAGACTAAGTAAGTTGGTCGTTTTTATTACCTGACGATTTTGTAATGGTAAAAAAAAATATTTTTTGAATTATTTGTTCTGCTTAATTTCTATGACCTGAAAAATTTCGAATAATTAATCCGATATCGACAGAATTTTTGATGCACTACGTTTTTGCGCATTTTTATTCAAATTTACGATAAAAGCAGCTCTCCATCGACATGAAGACAACGGCTATGTACCATATTAGGATACTCCTTATCTCAGTAGCTGGTGTGTACAGATTGAAATAACCCAGTTTTAGTAACTATTTCTGTTTTACTTATCGTTAGGAACTCATCAGCCAATGAGAATCATCGTGTGAACTGGCCTAACAAACCATGATCATCTGCTACAACTGAACTTCCTCAGTTTCAATATTGAAAATACAAAAATAATAGCGATTTGATTGGCTACTTAGATAGTGATTCGAGTGTTGAAATTGTATGCTCAGTAGAAGATATAGATGTGTTCTTCAGTTCAACATTGTATTGCTCCTATGTCATTGATGATTGGTG